ATTTCTTCCTATTGTTATACTCTTCTTTTCCTTTTTATTAACTGGTTTCGGTATTTATCCTTCCCCAAATATACCGTGGCGCTCAACATAACACCTATAAATAACCTTTCACCTCCTCACCGACCATCACTTGTCTCTCCCTTCAACACGTTCCCCCCCCCTTCACCACTGAGCTACCGCCAACGTACGTGCAGCCGCAGTAAGGAAGCTGTAACAATTTAACTCCGTAGTTGAAATACCCTCGTTAAAAAAAATTCTTTTTTGTCTTAAAAATGGCGGACTTTTTTTCAGTTTTAGGTTTAACGGTTCTATTTCTGAAGTATCTAATGCTTTTCTGAGCATTTTTAAACAGTTTTAGCCATTGTTAAATAAGTGCAAATGTACTTGATTAGCCTGCAAATGAAAATCCGTTTTTTAACTTTTTTTAAAAATTGGCAAATCTGTGTTTATTACATTGTTTGATGTAAAATAAATATATTTAATGTGTCAGGGGTGACACTAGTATGTTGACATCCTGTATATAATGAATAACTTTGATAAATTAATTTAATTATTATTTCAATTATTTAATCTTTTGATCTTTTTGATTGAAATGAGAAAGCTAGTGTCACGAGCGGGATTCGAACCCACGACCTTCCTTTCAATACGCCGCTGCTCTACCACTTGAGCTATCGTGACTTCAATCCACTCAGACATCAAACTCCCCGTCTCAACCTACAACCTTTCGAATCTTCCCTCCTTTTTGCCATTTTTCAAATGTCGTGTAATCAGGATTCGATTCTCGGCGACATATGAAGTGGCCACGGGGAGCTGTTAGTGAAGTTATGCTTCGTTTCACTTATTAAATCCATTATATTTAGTGGTCTATTGACCAAATTAGTTCTTCCTTGAGATATCGTGACTTCGATGCACTCGGACACCAACTCCCCATCTCACTTAATCTTTACGTAAGGTATTGGTTGAAATAAAAAAGCTAGTGTCACGAGCGGGATTCGAACCCACGATCTTCGGCTACATACGCCGCTGCTCTACCACTTGGATATCGTGACTTTGATCCACTCGGACACCGCTCGTGACACTGGCCACTAAATATAATGGATTTAATTATTATCTTTAAATCTGCAGATACATTTTCTCTGAATTCGCCCGTTGATTTTTTCACACCGAACAAACATCCCACTATGATTCCAACGCTGTAATTTTTGTTTTCTCTGGTGTTGGCTGAATGACAAGGGCGTTTTACAAAATCCTTTCCTACGAGATTCCAACCGAGTGATATTTGTCAACGCCCGCTAAGTCAATATCCGGAGACGAAACTCCTGTTTCATCGATAAATATTTAAACGCCCCTGTTCCGGCTGGTACAAGGTTTCGACAAAAAATTGTTATCGTTTATTGCCGGCCGACGGCTCGATTGTGTGGATCTTATCACGGATCGTGTTATAAAATAGGAGAAGACGGAAAAACAAAGACTACAAAGTCCTATGAAATAGCGTATTGATAGTCGACATTTAATATATAATTCGCTTGATGTATGATGATTGATGCTAAACAAGCTCTTGGCATTGATGGTTGACATGAAATCATAGTCATCAGATTACGCACGCGCACACACACGCGCGCGCACGCACGCACACACACACACACACACACACACACACACACACACACACACACACACATGATTGAAGCAAATCCCTAAGCCATTGCGTGTTAAGCCGACGTAGAAAATTTCCAGATAGGGTTACTGTGGGCAGTTATTGGACGAGGGGGTTTTGGTGTACAGAAAGGGCACTATGGAATGAATGGTTTGGTTCAGCCCCAAACTTACACTCCATAGATCCACATAAAACGAATGAAAGTTTTGTGAAGGGTAAGTTTGTTGTTGAGGTTTATAGGAGTAATTCAGCAACAGATTGAACGGCGGTTCATGTCTTGTCGTTTCAGGCGAGGGTGTGGATTCTACGTCATTTATCAATGTACACTCCTAGGTATCGTACTATGTCCAGCCATGTACGTAAGCCATTCGATCGTAATGGACATAATTCAACAGTGGTATCAGTATTCTAATAGGGTGAGGTAACTTTGCAGATGGGAGCTTACAACGGATGGGTTGTAGTGAGAAGAGAGGACAACCGTGTCTTCGGCAAACGTGATGAATGTGTTTGGGGAAGGAGTGTATATTATAAAAAGGATCGGGCCTAGGGTACTTACTTGAAGGACTCTAGGTGTTATATAAGAGGAAAGGGGTGATAAGGTAGGATAGGCGGATAAGGTAAAAGATACTAGGAAGAATCTTATTGAATGTCCCTTAAACCTGGGTGCCTTACCCGGGCGAACGCCAGGGCTACGTCTAGGAAGACACCCGAGCAATACTGTTTTCGCTCAAGAGGAATAATATTCACCATACGGTACACCTTTGAGTGGAGTGAAGTGAGCTGAACCCAAACTGATGGGACGGTAAGGTTTCAGCATCCTCAAGAATACAGATTAATCTTTTAAGTGAGAATTTTTCAAGAGCTTTAGTTACAAAGGGAAGGAGTCTACTGGTAGGTCGATAGGAGCTAAGAAGATGGACAGGTTTGTCAGGTTTCGTGATCATTCGTATAACAGAGTATTTCCACTAAATCGACAATAATTGTCCGAAGAACTGACAAGGGGACGACCAGGTTCGTGGACCGCGAATTTGGACCAAACATCTTTTGGTTGGGACCGCGGTAGCCGAGTGGTTAGCGTGAGAGACTCTCGGCTCATAGACGCCGCGGTCGTGGGTTCGATTCCCACCGTCGCCTCTGGCCCTTTTTTCACGATACCCCCCCCCCAATTATGAACACACATACAAGAATTCGTCACCATGGTTAATATGCATGGATCATAAGGCAAAAAAATACCGAACACGTATCCGCCACTTCTTGTGAATAGGAACTGGTTTCACCAAAAAATTTGAAATTTTCCGTTTTTTATTTCGTCGATCTATTTGCTCAAATTAACTACAGTTTTTATGTACATTCCAATAAAATAGAGTACAAGCTATTAATGTTTATCAACAGCCAAAAAATTTCTAAAAACTAAATATTTTTCGAGTAAACTCGGTCATAATTTTTTTCGTGAAACTTATATGAAATTTCGTTGTATTACTGCTAGAGAACCCTTTATATAATTTTTTTTTAAATATAATTTTATCCATTTTTGACCCCCTAAATTTTTTTAAATTTTCGAGAAGTAGTTACGAAATATCTGATTGAAGCGGCTATATTTAAAAAACGGCTAAAAAGATTTTAGCGTTAAACAGATACCATTAGAACCATTAAAATAGATAAAATATTTCTATACGAAAATACACAAAATATCATCATTATTTATCAGAAATTAACTGTATTTAAAAATTTCTCTAAAACGAATTATCAACTGTGAAACCCGGCCCATTAGCTTTTGGAAAAAATAATGTTAGAGCTTGCTCTAGGAATCAGGCAGAAATGTCGTCGAAATTATCAATCAAAAAATTAATTTACACTGATTTCCGCGAAACAATTTTTAGCAGTAGAATGACGATAAGGAAGTCAAATCCAAATTTTGACCATTTTCTGACCTATTTTTCTTACAGAGCGTTTGTCTAAATATGCAAACAAAGCAGTATTTTGTTGATTTATCTTTTTAAACCATACCAAATTCGAATAGTATGCATCGTATTCGAAAAACATTTTTGGTTTTTATATTAACCAACAATGAAATGGAGTTTTAATTTCTTCGTGGTCGTGTCCTACAGGGTTTTATGGCGTTCATACTGTAGGAAGGACTGAGTGTTTTTAGGCGAACAAACGAAAGTCGTAGTTGTGAGCTTAGACCTCTCTAAAATTAGTAGTGACTTTGCCAATCTTGGTGAGGGTTGTTTTAGCATAAGTTTACTGTGTCTAGCGCCCCGAGAGTTTATCCACTTCTCCTTTTGTCTTTTTAGTATATTCTGTGATGGAGGATTCTGTGTTAGGTTTTGTTATCCAATGAATAGGTTCAGAGCCTATATTTGGTCTTGCAGACCCATCTATGGCCAGTAAATAAATATTTTGAAATCGATGTGATCTTCGTCGAATCTTCTTTGCTTCCAGAGCTTTACAATGCATTATTTGTAGGCAGTGATCCCTTTTGATCCACGACCGGATTCAAAAAGTATTTGCAGCTTTAAGGATAATAATTAAGTTCAATTAAGTTAAATTTGTACCTAACTGGAGTAGAATTTGAGAAAGCCAGTTGTGAGACTGGATCCTTTTCTTTTGTCACCTCTGGTTTTCTCAAAAACAGATCGAAAAAGATAACATGAAATCTGTGTGATTATTTATTGAACCTCCACAGCTTCATCTATGTTGCATTCTTTATTGGCGGTCATTCAAAGATGTTTTGTTAATATCATTCTTGTGTGGTTTTTATCATCTTTTCTACCGCCTACTGCCTTACTACGGGCGGAGATTCTTCTTCAGAGACCATCGAGCTCTAATGGCATATCCAAGACAGTGGTGCACTGGCGAATTTGAAGGTTTACCCTTTTGTTGTTGTCGGTACTATGCCATAATGCGTGTTTCTATTTATTTATTTGTAACCTCTTTATGACTTGTCCGAATTACAAATTTTTTCTTCGTCATCAACATCCGGATATAACAGTCACACCACAGCCAGCACATTTGCAACTGGCACTCAATATGTTATAGAAGTCATCAAAGAATTGAACGTTTCTTGAGATGGGAGTTAGTAGAGAATGCTTACGCAATTTACTTAGGATGGGAGTAATATTAAAAAAGTATTGTAAAGTGGTTTGACCCTTCGTTCTGAACACACAAAAGGTAGTTAGACGTTAAGGCCTTCTATATGGTTGGATTACATTACTTTTTACTTAACGTTACTTGCTTTACTGAAGTTCACAGGGGAAATGTACTTAATTTCATACCCATGATTTGTCCTTATCAAAACCGCTTTTTTCACAGTGAAATAAAGGAAACAAATTATTTTCAGGCAAGGATTGCGACGAAGTCAAACGTCAAATCCTGGCCAACCACGGTAGTGGCGGGGAAGTCAAATCCCTGGCGCAGGACCACATCGGCCAGCACCACCACCATCACCACCACCATGGGCTCCACCAGGGTTCGCGGCTGGAGTTCCACGCGGCCGCGGCCGCCGCTGCCGCCGCCGCCGCCGCAGGCCTGTCCCTCCCGGGACCGCAAATTTCCGAAGACAGTTCGAAACCCTCCAAGCAGAAACGTCATCGGACCAGATTCACCCCAGCCCAGCTCAACGAACTCGAAAGATGCTTCTCTAAGACTCACTACCCCGATATTTTCATGAGGGAGGAAATAGCGATGAGGATCAACCTTACTGAATCTAGAGTCCAGGTCAGTTTTTTTATTACATCCAAGCATGTAGACTTTTTCTCTTGTGTGTGGCCGGCTCGGAGATATATTGTTAAAACTCAGCGATGGCCTTGTGTTTAAGCAATAACCGTTCGGACCACAATTTAGCCTTATTGGTCCCAATTATGCGTCATTTAACACTTTCTTTTGCAACATTCCTCAGCAAATTAGCTAAACCCAGGAGATTAGGGCGGATGCAGTTTTTCCTACAATGTTTCATCCCGAGTATTGACAACACTATTTTTTTTTGGCACCAGACTGGAAATCTATCTCCAACATGGCTCTTCACTCCAACACTGCATCTTGTATCGATTGTTATATTTTCCAAATATCAAATTTTTTCACATCCAGCTTCTAATTTAATCCGTGCTTGCCAAAAGTTGCTTCAGAGCAATACCAAATTTAGCAATTTTGTTTATGGTTAGCTGGAAATACCGTGAGTTTAGGGCAGGCGCAGTGTTGTACCTGCCCGTGTATTGGCAACCCTGATTTATTTGGCGCCAATCTAAACATTCTACTACTAAACTCACGGGATTTTCAGCTATCCTTTTAAGGTGAGTAGCCCACTAAAAATTTCAAAATATCGATTTTTATTTTTCTGCTGAAAAAATACAAAAAGGCTTCATGGACATTTTGTTACAAATAAATTGTATATCTGATAAGTCAGAAGAATTTTTTTGTAATTTTTGAATTTGCATGTTTTAAACGTCTGACGAGATTGTTACCATCTAGCGTCCGGTTTAAGACATCACCGTTGTCCAGCTAAAAGAAAAATATTTCTGGGTCTTTTTAGAATCACAACATTTTGTGGCAAAGCCGACACATTTGATTTCCCGAGATTCTTTCTTCTTTGAAAAATGGCATTTGGCCTAGTCATTGTAATAAATTATCGTTACATTTTGCCAAACTAAAGGAAAAGAAAAGCGGAGAATGATGCACTTTCGTCTAAATATATAAATCAAAAACAAAAAACCTTAGACATAAGGTTTACATCGACGATAAAGGTACTAATCGATGCTAGACGTCGAATAGAGAACCTTATAAACAAATAACTGCGTTCAAATTTCAAACCCTCAAGAACTTGTTTTTTTTCTTGTTTTTTTTTCAAACAATCACGTTTTCCCAAATGGTGCCCTTTTTCTACATTTTGACTCTTTTCCTCAGTAAATGTTTGACATATTTCGCTGCTTTTCATCCAATATACCATCCCTAACCATCCTTTATAGGTATATAGGACACTCTAAACAGAAGACTGGTTAAAAAAAAAAATTTATTAGGAGCCGAGAAAAAATATCAAAACCTCTACGGAAAAAGCTATTTTTTTTTTCAAAATTATTTTAAATTTTTTCTTTTCAATCAAATTGAATTAACTCCCGTCTATGTGTTCAAAAAGTATTAGGAAACAACTTTAAAAAAATTATCTTTCTCAGCTTTCACGGTTTCGGAGAAAATGGGACAAATATAAGATAAATTGGTGGTGTTAGGAAAACCCCGAGTATGTCCAAAGCAAAAAGGTGTAACACTGTTTTAACTGGGCCTATATGTTAAAAAAAGTCTAACTATTAAAAATACAGTCTAAGGTTGTAAGAATGTTGAAAAAATCGTGTGAGAGTTAGAAAAATCGGGAACACACTTCTGCGACGCTACCCGATGCCACCCGACGCAAATCCAACGTCCAATTTTCCAAAAGGTTGTATTACCCCCCCGCACATCTGCCCGATGCTCTACGCTCTGCGATCCTCACTGTACAGATTTTCGCATCGAGTACAGTCGAAGATAAAAGAACGGGGACACTCATATTTTTATTTCAAAACTATATATGTTATTATCGTTATATTAATTACAACAAATTTATTTTAATATAAACCAAATTAACCGAGATCAAAAATTCATTAGTTTATTTTTTTTTTAAATTAATTCTAATGGTTTGGTAGAAAATGGATCAAAACACCGGAATACCATTTTTTGATATAATGAATTTAACTAACAATTTATTACACGGTTTTTCTTCTTAAAATTCAACTAACAATTTATATCATGGTTTTGCTCATAAAATTACACCATTTTCGTCGAGTAACGCCAGAACAGGACACTCATATTTTTTGTAGTTTATTTCAAACTAAGTATATGTAATTTTGTTGTTGTATTATTATAATCGTTATAGTATTATTATTATAATATATTATAATTACAACATTCCTATTTTAATGTAAACCAAATTAAACGAGATGAAAAATTCATGATTTTTTATAAAAATTATTTAATTATGATGCTTAGGAAGAAAATTTATCAAAACACCGGAATAACATTATTTAAAACAATTAAGTTTAACAAATAATTTATTTCATGATTGTGCTCATAAAATTGAACTAACAATGTATTACAAGGGCTTGCTCGAAATAGTGCATTAAGAACAAAAGAGGCGTTGCGATTGTGATACTTATTTGTGATACACGCTGTGTGGACTGTACGTGGAGTGCGCACGACGTCGCATAGATGTACACATCCTACCAAAACGTGATCAGGCGTCGGGTAGCATCGGATATCGTCGCATAGCGTTCATCGGGTGTGCTGCCCGCTTTATTTGTCACGCTGTTATTTGTCAGGATTTTCGGAAGTATATACGTTCTCTATAATAACCTTCCATTGATTCTAATTTTTTTTAATCCGATAATTTTAGATATTCGTATAAACATAGAACCCAAAAAGTTAAGTATTCGTTCGTACGTTTGAGCGTATATTCGAGGGGTGTTTTACACGGAAAGCGGGTAGATGAACCCTCTGCCTGAAAAAATGCGATCACAGAGAGGAAAAGAGAGGAGATAAAACGGAGGGGAGATTGAATAAAATGTGTATTCGACAGGAAAGCGAAGGGCAACCAATCATAAAACTGAGGTGCTACTACAATAAAAGACCGCCCACTTGGCCGACGAAATTGCCTTCTGGATGAGGGTTGGAAACAAGTTTTTATTACGGAGAAGTTGGAGTCGTATATAAAACGACCCCATGCTAAAAATTCTACTTTACTTAAGCTGATTCTCCAACACAATTGATAACTCCCCTACTCCCCTCCATCTCTTCAGTCCAAAAATCGTGTTTAACTCTATATTTTTATTTTAAGAGCCTGTTATTTTATATTGAACGTTTCTTATAAAAGTAAAATATAATATATTTTATATATGGAGAAAAGTATAAAGTGATAGATTATAGTTATACATCCCCTTATCGAGAGAAAGATTGCTTGATGTGTCCCACGTAATAGGAGACTGGAGCCTGGCTCCTTACAGAGAGCGTGTAGGCATGCCACCGAATGTAAGGATGGATCTCGAGCACAGTAGCGAGTTACTCCTTAGTTAGTCCTGTGGTCCGCTTTTAGGAGGACGTGGTTTTTTGTTGTATATAGATACGTTTTATATGTTTTGTGATTATGTGTTTTGGTTGAGTGCGCGTATGCGTTTGACGATTTTATTTTATTATCGGAAGACAATACTTACGAAGAGAAATATACACATAAATAAACCCTAGAAGACGAGAAAAAATTTACCATTCTTGTGCTTGTATTTCAAGAAAATTATTTATCATTCGATTCGTTTTCTTATATAGGACAATAAAGTAATAAATAGGCAGGGTGAAAAAATGAACGTTTCGGTTTTCCCTTTTTTAACAACATCCATCGAGTTTTAGTTTTTACGTTACATAATAAAGTAAATATTCAAGGTCAAACGGCAGTATTGGGATTAAATTTCCGATGAGTTACAAAAGCGCTGTGAGAACGGTATGAGAGAGGAAAAAAAACAACAAATCACTCAGAGCTGGTGAACCTGTTTTAAAAGCTAATCGTGAGAGTAAACAGTTAATATTCATAGGAAAAGAGTCTGCAAGTGGGTGTTTGTGACTGGCTCAAGGAGAGGCGATGTTTTAACAGTGTGGCTAAGAAAGTCGCACCTCGGACGGACTCTGAATACATTATCCCCAAACTGGCTCGGCTGTGTGCTTTTTCCATTACACGGAGGAGCCGCGGACGTTCACGCGTCATCGCAAGTAGCCGGTGAAACGATAACGGATCTTTTGACCATATTCACGGGGAAGGAAGAATGGGGCGAATATTTCGTTTAAAATATTTAAAAAACTTGCCTCCTCTGCTTACCAACGCTTTTCAATTTCATCAGAGTAGAAAACATCTTCACAGATGTAGGTTGATTTGTTTAAAATAAAATGGAATAACTTTGGCAACCTTTCGGTCTCTTTTAAACCATAATCAAGCCAATTTTTTTCTCGATAATGCAAAATGTATAAGTAACGAAGGTGAATTATTACTAGTTTAATTGAAAATTTTTTGCTTATAAAAACTGTCATTAGCAGTATTTTTTCCAGAAACAACACAAGGGTATCTGTTAAGACCAATCCTATTCAAGTTCAAAAGAGGCTGAAAGGTTGCCCAAGTTTTTAAAGTTAGAGCGAAATGTCCTTCAAGTTCCATTTATTACCAACAGCCTCTAATTTGTATTTTCTGTAGGTCCTAGCTGCTAGTATCACTATATCAAATATAATTAATACCTGCTACAATGATTAAGGAATTAAACAAAAAAAAGAAAATAGGATTGGTCTTAACAGATACCCTTGTGTTGTTTCTCGAGAAAAAACTGCGGATGACAGTTTTTATAAGCAAAAAATTTTCAATAAACTAGTAGTAATTGAATTGAAAATTGAAGGCTGTTTGTAATAAATGGAACGAACGTAATTTTTCTCTAACTTTAATAACTTTGGCAACCGTATGAAATGAATGCATGAATGTTAAGACTGCTTATAAAAACTGTCACCCGCAGTATTTTCTCCAGGGAACACAAGGGTATCTGTTAAGACCAGTCCTATTTTCATCGTTTTTTATTTAATTCCGTAATCGTTATAGGAGGTATTAATTTGATATAGTGATTCTAGCAGCGAGGACCTACACAAAATACCAATTAGAGGCTAGGTTTGTA